ATGTATGTATGTATGCATGCATGTACGTAAGTACGTATGTATGCATTTCATGCGACTGCAACCTTACTTCTATACATTAAACACAAACTGTATCAAGAGCACTCACAAAAACGGGAAAAAAGAGAGCTCGTTATCCAAAAATGGGGAGGAAACTAGACCAGGTTTGATTCTACCCACAGCTGGTTCACTTCCATGAGATGAAAAATCAAAGCGGATCGTGAGAAGGTTTCAACAGGGGGTGCGCACTCCCTGAATACGAATTAAAGTACCTAAATAACTAAATGAAAAATTAATCATTTTTTAAATTTCAGTCGCACTCCATGAAACATAATATTAGTGGTATGAATATCACTTCAACTCGAATCCCGTACTAAAGGTTAAGGAGCTGCAGGGCTCGTCTCAAAAACCTGGTTGTTGCCAACTTCAGTTCATTCGCCCCGGTCGACTAAAGAACTGACCTGAGTAGGCGCTGATGGTCTCTTTTCACTGCCCCAGGGGACCGATCACGACAGGAATGGCTTTTGCCATTACGCTCCGGATTTTTTGTGTTTTCATCCTTAATTCTAAACATTTCAGTATGTTTTCTCTCCCATTAACAACAACGTTGCGGTCAGTTGGGCATGGAATATCAATGAATTGTGTCTACCTTTTCGCTGAAGCGGCATTTCTTTCTCAGTTCATATTGGGAAGTCCCAGAGCATTTTTTTGCTAACTTTCTTCCACTGCCTTTCGCAGATGTTTTAACCATGGCTTCGTCACCGAAAAATAGGCTTGCTTTCATAAATGCTAAGGACAAAGCCTGCAGCCTTGTTGTGCCACTCCTCGTATTCTCGAGTCGCGAATGTTTCGTGGCCGGAAACTATATGGGTCAAGGTCTGATTCTTCACTTAGCACAGTTTGCGTTTCGTTTCTGGCTGCATGTGCAGCGTCTTTGCTTTGCACGGATCCGTGTTCAGTGCTTAGACTTGGGCGGCCATTAGAAGGGCTTCCCTTTCCCCATAGAGCCCACCTCTTGATAGACACTTGAGGAAGATATGGTTCATCAAGAACTTCAGATTTCCCACCATTGTATAGGGCGCTATTTACATTTTACTGATGATCTTCTGCATTTCCAGGTAGTTCTGTTGCTGTTCTAGTTCGCACAGACCATGAATTTTTACAGCCGCCATCGTTCAGAACCGTTGTCAGATTTCCTTAGGCATCATGCCTTTAATTCCAGCGTGACTCTGACACTATGAAACTCCCTTTTTCCCTTTTGGAACGTGGAACCTATAGCCCGCCAATGTCTGTCTCTATAGCTTTCTATCTAGTTCTATCCTTTCCGCTTGCGTCCATTCGAGGATGCCCCGGTTAAAAGCAAGCACTGGTATCGCACACTGGCTAAAGACCACAGTTTTGTTTCCTCCCCCCAGAATTTGCTCTTCAGAATTTGGCGAAGTTTCTTCTCTTATTCCGTCTCCATCATTAATTTCATTTTTTATGCAATTTACTGTCAGGTTCTAGCAGGATGTTCATTTTACAAGTCAGTAGTGTCACTACCTCGCTTTTTCAGATCTTTCCTTTCTTAGTCTCGATCGTAGTACAGTCATCCAAACCTAATTTCATCTTGATATCCTATGAAAAAATTCGTGCGCTTTTGTCAGATTATTGGTGTCTCTAAGATATCTCGCATATAAGATGTAGGCTATGTGCAGCAGGTACGATATTACATCGCAGTTATTCAACTTATATCCTTTTCTGGTGCTACTCAACGAGCAACTGCGTGGGTTTAATGCCAGACAAAAATAGAAGACGTGAGAAATCTCCCTCAGAGATTATTCGCTTGATCTTCGCCGATCCCATAAAAAATATTTGTCACATAGCAGTGTTGTACGCAACTGTCTCATCGCCGTGTCGAAAAACTTTATTACGCTGTCGTTGAAGCCGTAAAGTTTTAAGTATTCCTCGGTCCAGTTATGTGGTACCAAATCAAATGCCTAGGTAATGTCGATCCACGCCATAACTATGTTGGTCTTTCTCATCTGGCGATGGGCGTTGTTCAGGAGTAACCGTTTCTTCGGTCCTCTTGATTTGGTCCGGCAGCCTTTTTGCTCAAGAAATCTGATGATGATCGCCTCGAGATGCTTGTATACCGCACTGGCTAATATAAACGTCAATCGTTTCCGTGATCGGCCTGTAGTCAGTCACATCTCTATAACCCCTGTTCTAATCCTTCAAGACGAGGTGCGTCACTGCTTCCGTTGACCAAGAAGATGGTTCTTCCCCAAGCACTCTGCAAGAACACTTCTATTCCATTCCTGAGTGAAAACACGTTAGCCGTCTAATCCGGATCTGGTTCTGTGCGGTCTTTCATTTTTCTGACTGCTTCGCGTACGCTCTTTACAGAGACTGTGGCCTGTCTTTCTTCAGAGATTTCATTTCCATTTTTCAGTATTTTCATTACTTAGTTAGCATGTCATCATTTCATATGCGTCTCCAGTCCTGAGTCGATTCTACTGCGTTAGGACCAACGCTTTTCGCGTCACATGTAGGTTTGTTTTTCGCCTCCGTTTTTCTATACAAGAACTT